TCATTGGTAGCATCTTGTGTAAGAAAGGGGAAGATGTGGGCTATGTTTTTAAGATGGAATCTACAGGATTTGGCAGCATACTGGATGAGAGGCCAGAAGAAAGTATGACTCCAAGACGGTGCTCTTGCATGGATGGACTTATGTGGATACCACTAACTTGAAGGGAGAGTGAAAGAGGAGGATCAGTATTAAGAGGAGAAAAAACAAGGAGCTCAGTTTTAGAGTGATTGAGTTTCAGAAAGTGGGAGGACATCCAGTCAGAGATGGAAGAAAGGCAAGCAGTGACACGTTGCAGGACGACAGAAGAGAGGTCGGGGGGGGAGAGATATACCTTGGTGTCATCAGCATACAGGTGGTAGTGGAATCCAAATAAGGTAATAAGTTTGCCAAGAGAGGCAGTATAAAGAGAAAAGACAGAGTGATTGAAGAGTTTGAAGAAGGAGAGCATGATCAATGGTGGCAAAGGCAACAGAGAGGTCATGTGGCATGTTTAAGGTCAGCAGGGACAACACCAGAAGAGAGAGAGAGCAGTTGAAAATGTGTGTTAAGGAAGGTACAAGACAAAGGGAGAGAGATCTGATAAGGTGAGATGGGACAGGATCGAGATGGCAAGTGGTGGGGCGAGAGGAAATGAGAAGCACAGCCACCTTTTGTTCAGTAGCTGGGGAGAAAGTCTGCAGGTTAGGAAAGGCAAGTTCTACGTGTGGATGAGAGAGAGAATGGCAAGGTGGGTAGAATTCTTTCCTTAGCTGTTTAATCTTCTAGGTAAAGTAGCATATAGTGATGCTGGTCCAAGGCTAACACCTTTATTATTGTGTATGAATGGCTACTGCATAATCACCACCTTATCAACTTTCCCCCAAGGTTGCAATTGCACATACAGCTGTTACCTTGATAACGGTATAAACGTTGACCTTGGTAATGAAAGATATGAAATAAACTGCAAGTATACAAATACTATAGTTATGAATTACTGTTATGCAGTGCTGAGAATAGATGAGAGGGAATAGCGCTGATTAGCCGCTCAGAATTCTTTTGAATTACTAGATCTGTGACTCTAGACTCAAATGCAAGCTATCTAAGAGATCATTTGATTGTCGTTTTGAACTGTTCATCTAAGTGTTATCTTCCTCCCTCTACTCCCGGCACTTACTAAGCCTTTAGCATGTCCAGACAGGTGTAAATCCACAGCCATACATATCATCCTACCTGAGAGCAATAGGAATGATAGTCCATAGTTCAGTATCACCACACGATACATGTGTTTGGTTCAGCCACGATCCAATTATCTGCGATACATTAGTGCGGTTTGCACGTAGAGATTAGGCTGTATCTGTTGCACTCATATGTTAAAACAGCTATCTTCTGAATACAATGATAAAGGTATCAGCCTTGGACCAGCATCACTATATGCTGAAGTATTTACACCCTTATAAGGCTCCACTTGTGACTGAATCCCCCAAGTACCCTCATTTTACTCTCAGAGATGGGGGGCTGTGGTTTGCAACATTTATATGTTATACTAGCACCTATATAGTTACCCTATTCAGCAGGTGCCCATCCCAGTTATTTATTTATATAGTGATATACTTGGCACAGACGTATATATTTAGCAGATTTGCTATAGACTTTATCCTTCATAGTTTATCGACTTATCAGGTATCGATTTTATTTTGGAATATATTGTAGTATTCCTTTTTTCTTTTTCTTTTGGAGTGTTCACCATTTAGTTTGTGTACAGCACATTGGGTGTTTGCCGTTAGGCAATTTTTAATAAAGATTTTTTTTTATTTTTCATTATTTTTGCATCTATTTCAGATTATCGATTTTTCTGTATCTGAATAGATTACGTGTATCTATACATCTGTTATTGATCCCAGTTTCCCTCATTTGGTACACTACTTCTCTCTTTATATACAGATTTTTTTTTTCTGTTTTGATTAATTTGAGAGAAGGGGTACTTGTCTTTTGATTAACATTCTTATGTCTAGTTTAAAGTGAAAAAGGTGCTCTGTAGTTTGAGTGTAGCTTGAGATTGTATATCTACCTCTATGCTAAATCATATCATTGCAAACTGTCACAGTGCACAGAGGTGAGCATGTTTTGCATGTGGGCAGGAAGGAGGGGCATGTAGGGAGGCTACCCGGTTACACCATTGTTGATGTCATCTGATTGCTGAGAATGGTATGGGTTGTTACATGGAAAAACATATTTTATTGTGTAAATTTAACCATTACTTATTCAAAAGCTTATTCTACTAGTACTACTAACTGTAAACTCTGATTAGTGAGTTTCATCCTGATATTTATTTCATTCAAGAGGTAATGGAACATTCTAAAAGTACGTTTTTCTTTATTTTTCAACGATCCTTATTTTGTGTTTGTAGAACACTAATACAACTTCAACAAATCAATTTCCTAGGATTCCGTGTTGTGGTATAATAACGTGTTTGGGAGTCATGTGAAAACAATGTCTTGAAAGAATGTCATCTTTTCTAAGTGCATTGGAGATATGGAGATATAACAACTTTAGCCTCTGTTACATTCCTTTACTGATTTATAGATATGCTCCTTCTCTGTCTCTCTGCTCTGCTAGTGACCTTCTCCTGTCCCCTGCTCGCACCCTTATTGCTAACTCGCGCTTGCAGGACTTCTTGTTTGGAACAGCCTGCCGACCCCCATCAGACTTTCCCATAGTCTTCAATTGTATAAGAAGTTCCTCCAAACACATCTGTTCAGAAATGCTTATGGACACCCAGATTAACTTATCTATACTTAGTCATATCTGTCTCTTGGTCTCCTAAAGTCTCTCCTTGGTCTCTTTGCCATTTTTCTACCTTGTTTGGTGGCTGTCACCCTTGCAGTCCTATTGTATTTTTGTACCTTACTTCCTCTGGACTGTAAGCTTGTTTGAGCAGGGTCCTCATTTACCAATTGTTCCTGTGTCATTGTCTCATTTATTGTAAAATATCCCCCCGTCATAATATTGTAAAGCGCTGCGGAATTAGTTGGCGCTATATAAATACCAATAATAACATGGTTTGGATATCTCTACTTTATCTCTGATTTATATATCCTTTACTGTATTATTTTGGCTTTTTTTAGTTGCTTTTTATATATATTTTGTTAAAGTATACTAAAATTTTGCTTAATGCTTGTATGTCCAGTTATTATATGACTTTATTTTGTATCTGTATTGTATAAAACTCTCTATGCATTATTTATTGAAATGTAATATTTGTGCCTTTTACTTGTTTGTTCCTTCTTCATTCTGCCTAACTAACAATATATTAAAAAAGAGGAATTTTCATCACTCTAAAAAAAAAAGTTTTTCAATTCTCTGTGCTTTCTATAACTTGCAGTCGTGATACAAGCAATACTTAGATACATTGAATATTTATTGTTATAGAACATGGATTTTTACTAACTCACCATTTCCTTTGGTTAATTCTTCCATGATTGGTAAAATGGGCCTTTCAGAAAAATCATCTGCGTGGTTTAGGAGAGCATCTTTCACAGCATCATACCCACACAGTATTACTGTCCTTTCAGATCCTGTCTTCATGCTGAATACTGGTCCATATTTCTCAGAGAGCTAAAAAATAAATGAGATGGGAAAACAAGACTCAAGGGAATGCTGTTTTATTTAAAAAAAAAAAAAATATATATATATATATATATATTAAATATTTGACCAGATATCCTGTTTCAATGTCAATAATAAATATCGATAATTGTAAGCACACAATTAAATCCGCTTTTTAACATTTTATTTTAGAAAAAGAAAGTTCTGGTAATAGTTAATGAGAAAAAAATCTTGACTTTGATTCAAGTTGAAATAACCTTGTTTCACCACATTTTAAACCAAGCTTACTTGTAGACTAGTATGAGAATATTTCAAGATTCGTGGACACAAGTATTACCTCTTGTAGAGTTTTATGAGGCTTCTGTTTCTTCATGAGCATATTATGGATGTTTCCAATTATTGGTAAAGGCTTTGGACCAGGTGGAAAATTATAGTAGAGATTTCCTTTCCGATTGGAAAAAACATTGATCAAAAATAAGATAACAACAACTGATAGAAGTAAGGATACTGGATCAATGGCAAACATGTCTGCAGCAAGATCTGGGTGGGAAAACAAATGTTTCAGTTAAAAGGGAAACATATACATTAGCTCTCTCCTTTCCTCTCTATAAAATTAGACATCCTAGGTTTGTCAGAACAATATAAAACATGTTTGTGTGTGTTACAAACATTGTAACACACACAAACAATTGTCTGGGGTAGAATTGCTAAAGGATTTGGGGGTTAATATGCAATGTTTAAGTATGTTGACAATGACGTTTTAATCATTTATATGTTTTATTATATTATTAAAGCTGTGATCATTTTCCCAAAATAAGGTGTCTGAGTATCCTTGGGGTTTTGGGTTGGTAAAGCATATGCCAAAAAGGCATATGTCAAGTGATATCTAGCACATTTCCATCTGGTGAGTATCATGATCAATAACATATAATAGCTATTACAAGCTCTTTAATTTAAAATATCATAGGACCCTTACCTAAGTTTGAATGTCACCAAATGCTTGCATGATGGACTTGCCATAATATAGAAATATATAGAGTTAAAAACAAAGGATATCAGAATACTGTAATCTGTCTGGTCTCTATCCCAAATGTTACTTTTATCTAACCTACTGTAAGAATGCAGTTATAAACAAGTAAAACAAACAGACATGCAGAGATCAAATGTTCACAGTCCAAGGTAAATTCAATGATCTATATTGTGATTCTTGTTAACACTTGTATTTTGTCTCAATTCAAATGTGATCACCTGTAAGATTAGTTCCCCCACATAGAAAGTGTGTGTGTGTGTGTGTGTGTGTGTGTGTGTGTGTGTGTGTGTGTATATATATATATATAAAAATAAAAATAAAAAATTCCTTGCACTCATGCTGAAAGTTGTCCCTTGTATACCGGGTGCTAAAGCCAGGGCTTGATTGTACAAGTATCCAAAGAGGTAGCAGCACTCACAGAGTTTAAAAATTCTATTCTTTATTTGTTGCAAATAAAGAATAGAATTTTTAAACTCTGTGAGTGCTGCTACCTCTTTGGATACTTGTGTGTATATATATATATATATATATATATATATATATATATATATATATATATATATATATATCTCAACCCCCGAATCCTTTAACAATTCTACCCCAGACCCACATAAACAAATCAATGATACCACATTCTAACATATTTAACATATAACCATTTAAACCATTGCCACCGAGCGCATGATTTACCATATTCCACAATATAGGGGTATACCCTACAAACACCAGGTTTAGAGCTACCCACAAGCTCGAACCAACCACCATATTACACAATGTAAGTGTATATCAAGATGCACCCTACACACACCAGGTTCTGAGTTTCCAACGAGCTTGAATCAACCAATACCCTTCCAAACCTAACTGTTAGCTAACAAAATGCTCTTAGATCTGGACAAACGACCTACACCCCAACTTGTCTATCCATTCCTGCAACAGCTCAGAGCTTGACTCCTCGAACTACCTGAGCACCCCCTACCAAACAACACACGAAGCAAAGCCTTTTGAAACCCTAGCAACAAAATGCATACCAACGTCTGAAAGACTGGTACTAACCCCAAAGCTAAGCATCCGGTTCTCTGTGCCCACCTATCTAACATACGTAACCAGCAACTTGTCAAGGTTTACCTTAGTTGGGACTCCGGTAGGCAGAGATTTGTGCTCACTCTTGCAGATATACACAGTCCAAGGTGATAAGGTTAGAAACCACTAGGACTGTAAATCTGTGCACTGGGGCTGTGCATGAAAGGTGTTCCAATTCTTAGTACAGACTTGATCAAATCCAGAAGAGTAGTCAGACACGGTTCCAAAGGTAAGGGCAGGTAGCAAACAGGCAATAACGAGGATCCAGAAGAAGGGTGCACAAGCCAAGTCTGTCAGTTCATTGTTTCCTGTTGCTTATAGACTAAGTTCCCAGGGCGAGGCAGTGCTAGTATAACCAGCTAATAATGATCTGCTTCAGGTGGGCTTAGATAGACAGGAGCAGCCACAGGAAAAGTCCAGCCACCAGTGATGGAGACAAGGTGAGGATAAACATAGGCAGAAACAAAAACTGAAGTGTGGCCCAGAGGCAAGACAGAAAGAGTCCAGAGTTCAAATCCCCTGTTTGGCACTGTCAACTTCCTCTGATCTCAGCCACTGCCCAGGTATCCATGACATGATGCCATTGTAACCGTGGGACCATCTCGGACCATATGACAACCACGTCAGGGATCAACTGCCTCAGCCCGTCTAAATCCTTGTTCGCAGCCCGGTAAATAAACCAGACCCAAGTCATACCCTCCAGCATGAATCAAAACTACAATAGGAACTTGCCCCCTCACTAATCCCCTTAAAAACTGTCCCCCCTTGAACCAACCATACAAGTTTCTCCAATGCTCTAATGAGCACAGATAGCCTAAATAGCTGAATGTCACGATGACGAACTGCGTGCCCCATTCACATACAAGCATTTTAGCAACCAAGCAGTCCACATATGGGAGAAAAACAAGTTAACAATTAACAGAAATAACCACCCCCCCAACCAATATCTGACTAAATTGCTGGGCCTCACACATGCCTTGAACAGATTCCCAACACCCATCTTGTTTGGTCCAGATCATCCCCCCACGTACTGACCGAAAAACCACCATACAATACACTGAGCACACCACCAACTGCAGTACAGAAAAGCGTAACCTTTCCCAATGAAAACCACACAGGTCTATACCCCGAAAACAAGCACCAAGAAGGGCACCCAGCAAAACTTTTGCAGATTCCAAAAGATACGGGTCGGTGCCAATCTCGGGATGACCTCCATCACTGAAAATCTTTTAATAGACTGACACACAAGGAAAGATTTAGTTAACACCTTCCCACCATTAAGCGTAAACCGGAAAACCCAAATTCGTCATTATGTCCAGTCCCAGACCGGGACGTCCTAGCAAGAAAGAACCACCAAAGGAACCACATCAAAAATGTTGCCTCTGTACTGTCCCAGTCGTTACAAACCTTAATGTAGGCCGTCTGAGCTGGCTGTCACCAACTACACTCTTATGAGTCCTTCAAGCAAGATCAAGCAAGCTACCACACATCTGCATACACGGCACACCCTCCTCCTGCACGCCCAGGGCCACCTCCCAAAACCGCTTCCCCGGAATGCCAGAAAGTGAAGAAGCTACCACATTCCGTAAACCGGGCACCTGATGCGCATGGAACACACCTTAAATTGCCAGCAAAAAAAATGAAACGGGGAAGGAGCCGAATGACAGGAATAAAATACGCAGATAAACCATTACCAGCCTCAACAACAGACATGTTGCCGGTAAAGAATAGAACCTTTCTGGCCTGCCACAGGGGACGCCCAAAGCTAATGCCACCCCCAATGGAAAATTCTAAACAACAGATTGTGACAAAGTGAGTTGGCAGACCACTTATCCAGCCATTTCCCGCCCCTCTTAGCTAATAAAATACACCCCAAACTCCATACTCTGCTCAACCCCATCCATGAATTGTCCAAAGTACGCACATGTGACGGAACACTCCATCAGTAGACATTAATCGACAAACCACTCCCCCTCAACAACAGCCCAGCAATCAGTGTAAATCTGTATGAATGGGCAATTACTGACCAGCCACTTCCGCATCCACCATGGATAGCAACGGCGTCTTTTCCTGTGCGCCGAACCAACTCTGATCAAATGATGCATACAACACCGAGCTGAAGGCCTTGTCAATAGCAACGTACCAGGATTTTCCTTGGGTATGATCCCGAAAGGTGACAACCGCGCCATCCGTCCCCACTGCCTTCCCAAGGCAGTTGTTAACGCACATCGCCCGGAAATACACCTACCGATTTCAGATTTCGAAGGCGACGTGTAACCACCTGATACTGGCAAGGAATAACAAACTCTTTTGTGGACACGTTCTGTTACGGTATAAACCAGTGTAGTGAGGGTTAATACCGATTAAGGGATTCACCTTTACAAGGGAACAGCAGCTCACGAACCCACCGAATGGGAAACATACGAAATCCTTCTCTCCTGGAACAGGCAAAAGAATATTCCACAGTAGCAATCCCCCCAGTCACGAGACCATGCTCCGTATTTAGGGTAAAACAGGATTCTGATTTATTGAGGGCTACATGCCCAGTATTTATGCAGGTCTCCCACCTGGTGGACACTCCCCTAGGGGACCAGTTGGAAGACTGTGACAAGGGACAGACACATATCAATGACAGACATACAAGGGGTAAAACATTCCCAGGATACACTGCGTTCCTGCCTCTCTGTCTTGGGCATAATTGGGAAGTAATTCAATTATCTCCCAGGACAGAGGCAAATTGCCATTACCCACGAGGTGACAACAGGAGAGGTAAATGCAATAAAATACACAATGTCACGAATGATACATAAAACATATTATTATTATTTTTATTATGTTATTTATATAGCGCCATCAAATTCCGCAGCGCTTTACAATGGGTGGGCAAACAGACATGTAGTTGTAACCAGACAAGTTGGACACACAGGAACAGGAGGGGTTGAGGGTCCTGCTCAATGAGCTTACATGCTAGAGGGTGTGGGGTAAAATTACACAAAAAGGAAAGGATAGTATTAGACTAGTGACAGTTGCAGAAGAGGAATCAGTCAGGAGCTATTAACAGTTTAACTGATACGCTTTTATGAAGAAGTGGGTTTTTAATGGAGGAGGGAAGCGAGTTCCACAGGAACGGTGTTACATATACATGTACATATACACATCCCCAGATAGCTTAGGTCTGAGCGCACATTATTACTGAATGGCGCTCAGACCACACAAATACAGTTCAATTGCCATGGAGCCAAAGTCTTTTATTACACGAATAGGCGGACAACATTTATTAAATAAAAAGTCCCGATTGCTCCGGCATTCGGCAATACAACCGTAGCTAGAAGCAGGGAAGGCTGGCGGCTCAGCGGTGTTCGTGAGTAAAAGTGTCCGCTTTTAGTTCACTGAGGCTGGGCTGAACATCGCTGGCTGTACGGGAGCGTTAGAATGCCACCACTGTGCGGCCGCCATGTGTAACCACGACCACCTGGTAACAGTCAATTAAGCTGCGGTTAACCGCAGCTACTGGGTGGTCAATTGACGGCACACGCTAGCTACGGGGAGGTCAATTGGCGGCACACGCCAGCTTCCCGGTGGTCGTGCCTACGTGTGTCTTTCTGGAAATAGCAAGGGAACACACGGGGACTGTACAGGCAAGGAAACAACCGAACAAACAGACGAACGGAGGGAGAATAAACACAATCCACAGACAGACGGTTCTGTCACATTGTGGCAGAACCAACCTCGCCACTATGCACTGGAGAAGCCTGGTTGCCCGTCTGCTGCCTTTAGACTATGGCCCCGGGGAGATTGTGAAAACGTATGGACTTTTATTGGGTGTGTATGGCCCTTTAAGACAGTCGGTGGGCATATTGGGGCTTATGTACGTTTTATGGGACTGGTGCTGGCCCTTTAAGCACCTTTTTGGGGCATAGGGAAATTGGGACACTGCCCCTTTAAGACTGTCCCCAGACTTGTTTGGGACACTGCCCCTTTAAGACGGTGTCCCCTGTGTCCCTAGACCTGGTTCAAACCCTTTGTGCCTAGCTATTTCCCACTTAAGTGGGCTTACTGAACCAAGTACCACACAGGCGGACCACCTGTATTGGGAGTGTGTCGGCAATTTACCTCCCAGAAACTGCGGTTAACCGCAGCTTAATTGACAATGCTGGGTGGCCTTTGTTCGTTTGCCGAACACGTGGCGGCGGCCATCTTTGTTCATTCGCACGAGGTCAGCGGTATGTGTAGCCAAATTCATGGAACTAAAATCTGCTACACATTTCCGCGAACACCGTTGAGCCCTACCTTCTCCCACAATGATTTTGCAGCCGCAGAGACTAAGTCCCATTCGGGCAGGAAAATGTGCCAGCTACTTTCCTCTGTTCTCAGTTCTCCATAGAAACTAATGAAGTGTCTTTGTGTGTTTTTCATAGATATTAGGGTA